AGCCATTTTCTAGGTTGTATCGTATACCAGCTGGCTGTACGTCAGGATTAGTTATGGTAGTGAGCCAACTAGAACTGCAGTACATATATTGTACTGTAACATCGGATTGAATCATCAAGGAAAAGTCTAAAAATTATTTGTTCTCTCTGCACGTTCACTTCTTCTCCTACAATTCTCTCCTACTCCTGTCTCCTTCATTCTCTTCTGTGTCATTCTACATTTCTTAACTTCTGACAAAGCACCTAGGCCAGCTTTTGGCCAGCCCATGAGTTAGTGGTCTGGCAGATAATTGAGGAAGGACTAGAAGTGATGTTGCCTTGTCTCGCAGCTTTGTTTTCACTTTTCATGACTGTGAATAGCTACTTAATTATGTTCATCCCCTGCTTTTATGTTTTCGCCACCTTTTGTACCTTAGGAATTGTGAGAAATTCATCATTGTTCGCAAATCTTACATGTATAGTGGACACTTGAGCTTGGTGATGTGATCATAAGACCAGTTTTATATTAATTATGGCTACCTAAATATTATTTGTTGACATTTTTGTGCCTGCTACAATTTACATTGTTCTAAGAAATGAAGATTGTTAGACAAATATGATTGAGTTTGTAGTGCACTGTAGAATCTTTTTATTAGACTTTTAAATTTATTACTCTATGAATATGCTCAGTAAATGTCATCCATTGATCTCATTTCAGAATGCGTCATTTCAAGCATTGTTGCCACTTGTTCGGGAACATATTATTGAAGGTTTCACTCCGAAGGCCCTTGACTTGTTTAAAAGGGAATTTGATTTCTTTGACAAAGTTACATCAATATCTGGTGTACTTTTTCCACTTCCCAAGGAAGAACGCCGAGCTGGTATCCGGAGGTATAGTTCTAATTTTTACTGGTTGAGCTTGTTTTTTAGTAGTTCTCTACCTTGCTGGGTAGTTATCTAACAGTTGCTAAAAAAGGGAGCTGGAGAAAATTGAACTGGAGGGAGAGGACCTTTACTTACCTACTGCTCCTAACAAGCTTGTAAGAGGCATTCAGGTGGATAGTGGAATACCCTTACAATCTGCCGCCAAAGTTCCTATCATGATCACATTTAATGTGGTTGATAGGGATGGGGACAACAATGATGTAAAGCCCCAAGCTTGCATTTTTAAGGTATGTTTAAGTACTTGGTACTATATGCTAGTGCTGGCGCTGGTTGACCTGAAAACTGGCTACTTTATAAGATTTCTTGTTTGTGCAATATCTACAAACTGATATGAGTAAACTTTCAAATGACTGTCTACTCTGCCCTTTTCCATTTTGTAAAAGTGGTCTTTGTGCTAATTTGGTTTTTGCTCGGGACAAATCTTGGACCAACACTTCTTGCTCCCCACATGGTTCCTTCCACTAAGACGATGCAGGGGGGCCTTCTTCTGGACTAGCATTACATGTTTTCTCACCAGCTGGGGCACTAGGGCCATGTGAGAGCAAGCACTGTTGGTTTGAAGCGCTGATTCTTGTCTATTTGTCTATTAAAAATATAGCAGACAACAATGAAGCCTTTCAAGTCTAGTCACAAGTTTGGTATTGCAAAAACATTCATGAACAGTGACAAAAAAATTATCCGATACTGATTTTATGGTTTTATTTTAAAAGTTTTTGTATTTTATTGCTATAGTTTCCTCGGCATTCCCGATTCCCGACAAAAAGAGCTATACATTTCAGATTTTCAATTTAAGCTTTGTCAACATGCTTAGCATATACCAATTCTCTTCATTCAGGTAGGAGATGATGTCGCCAAGATGTCTTGCTCTTCAAGTGATATCACTTCTTAGGGATATATTTGAAGCGGTGGGAATCAATCTCTATTTATTTCCTTACGGTGTTCTCCCAACAGGTCCTGAGAGAGGTATAATTGAGGTAAGTCTGTTTCTCCTATTCATATAATCGGACGGTGCTTACATCTGCACAAAAAGGACACCATGCATGCATGGTCCTGATACTCGTGGTGTTAAACATTGACTATGGGTAAATTTTTCAGAATACCATTTTATACACTGGACTTTGTTGCCTGTTGATTTCACAAGCATGTTTCGGATTTCACTTTTTCCTTTTTATAATTCTTTGAGATCATTTTTGTCTTGATATATTATTTCTTTGGAGGGGATTCTTAAGTACATGAACTGAGAAGAATTTTGGAGCCTCTCATAGTTGTCCATTTGACAAATTCCTTATCAATTGGGCCAACTGGCCCTGTAATGAACTGGATGACTTCAAACTTTCCTATTAAAATCATTCGGGAACGAGCCTATTTTGCATCAATATCTTAAGTGAAGTGGATAGTGGCTTCTCCAGAAAAATGAAATTGATGGAAAGAAAAACCAAGTGACATATGATCCCTTCTGACAAGAAGCATTTTTTGTTGCAGGTTGTGCCTAATACAAGGAGCAGAAGTCAGATGGGTGAAACGACCGATGGTGGTCTATATGAGATTTTTCAACAGGACTACGGGCCTGTTGGTTCTCCTAGTTTTGAAGCTGCACGTGAGAACTTTATTGTTAGTAGTGCCGGTTATGCTGTTGCTAGTCTTTTGCTTCAACCAAAGGATAGACACAATGGGAATCTACTCTTTGACAAGTATGATCAATCTCTCTTCTCTAATTCTAAAAGAAATCTGGATCATAGCTTGTCTGGAAGAGTCCACTTGGTTTCAATTGATTTCCCTGAAAACTTCTTATTATTCTCTAATTCTAAATGTTACGACTGTATCACGTGTGGTGCAGTGTTGGGAGGCTTGTTCATATTGACTTCGGCTTTATCCTGGAAACATCACCTGGTGGAAATATGCGGTTCGAGAGTGCACATTTTAAGTTGAGCCATGAGATGACACAGTTGCTAGACCCGTCGGGGGTTATGAAAAGTGATACATGGTATCAGTTTGTGAGGTAATAGAGAGTCCCCATCTCTCGTCTCTTCACCCTTTTCAAATTAACAGGTGGCAATTTTTTCCCCTGGATCTAATTTGAGTACACTTACAGCTTGTGTGTGAAGGGATATCTGGCTGCCCGCCGTTACATGGATGGGATCATCAATACAGTGTTGCTGATGCTGGACAGTGGATTACCTTGTTTCAGCAGAGGCGACCCTATTGGGAATCTCCGCAAGAGATTTCATCCTGAGATGAGCGAACGCGAGGCTGCCAATTTCATGATCCACGTGTGCACAGATGCTTACAACAAATGGACGACGGCTGGTTACGACCTGATACAGTATCTGCAGCAAGGCATTGAGAAGTAAAGAGACTTTGGCTTCTACCATCCCCAAATGTACATGATTGCAAGTAATTTTTATAAATTATTAGTCATATAATTGCCATTTTTCTGAGGAATCTCCACTTTGTTGTGCTTTGGAGAGAGTATAATAGAAATGAGGAAGGAAACAGAAAACAAACGGAAAAAAAAGAATTGTTTGTAACTTAGTGGTTAGATTCTTCTTTAGGTTTGTAAAAAAGAATTCAATCTGTTTTGCGTATTTGTCAATGAAATCCGGAGATGTATCCGGAGGTTTGATGACAAGTTTTTGCGCAGATGTTTAACCATTGGAGAGACCAGGCTTTCCATTGACTGGACGGTTGGAACGATTCTAGTAGTTAAATTATGGTTGGAGCATCGACTTAGGGTTTCTATTTTTTTGTCGGGAGAGGTAATAATTACTCTAACGATATTAAAATGACACTATTCTTCACATCACTACGCGAAATTGCTGAATTACTATAAAATGATAAAAATGTCATTACGGATTATTTCATAGATTTTATTCTAAACAAGATTCAAGTCTTGGGAAGAATTAGTGTTGAAAAGGGGTGACCGAACTAGATGGCAACGAATATATTTTAGGATATCAAGAGTTAGATCTTTGATCTTTGTTGTCGGATTTCGTAGGCACAAGAAAACTAAATAATGCTTTTTCGCTTCGCTTAATGACTGCCCCTATCTATCTCTTTGATTTAATATTAGTTACAAGTGTCAAGTTGCCTACCAAAACAAAAAGTTTGATTGAAGTATAGTAGAGATTTGGGTTGTCATACGGCTGGCCGTCCCGCCCCCTCATTATGAAAAGGCACAAATGACTAACGCAACTGGAGCTTCAAGTTAAACCAAATTAAGGAAATATACAGAGGAGGGGCGAGTCAGGTCCCCCTTCCTCAAGGACTTTTAACCAATTCAAACTGCAAAAAGAACCAAAAGCACACTTTACTCGTTTCTTTTGTACTCGGGAGATTAATGTAAAACAGCCACACATCCTTCCCTCCCACCACCAATCTTTGCATGATTAGACTTCTCTTTTACTTTTTAGCCCGACTAAAAAGTCTTCTTCTCTGTCTTATAATTCATCGTCATTACCAGTCTCAAACTCCTCATACGTATCATCTCTAAGAAAATCAAACAAGGGGGGAACGTATTTGAATGGCGGACCAAAAAGATTACAAGAGCATTTGATAAAAATAACCGTACGAGGAGTTTCCCATTTCTTCCTTGCTTAATTCATCACCATCGAACAAATTTTTTTTTTGCTCTCTTCCGTATACACAAAAATAATGTACTTATGGCTAGTGAAAATGAAAAAGCATATATTTACTACAATACCCCTCTACATCTACCTGACTAAGTGTTCCCCATCTGTATCTCACCGCCGTTTCTTGTAGTAGCATCGCCGCCGTCGGCAGATGGTCTCCTCTTGTCCTTGGATTCTCTCCAGTTAAATTTACTAAAAAGCCCCTCCATCTCCTCGAGGGTTTTACCCTGCGTTTCCGGCAGGAAAGTGAAAAAGAACAACCACGACGCTGATGCAATTCCGGCGAAAAGAAAGAAGGCACCTCCGACGGTAATCGCATTCGACAACGAAAGAAAAGTCGTCGATATGACCCCACTCGTCAGTCTGTTGACCGCCACTCCCATACTTGCCCCCTGCGCGCGTAGCCTCAACGGGAAGATCTCGGAGCTGTAGACCCACGCGATGGGCCCCATCCCGATTGAGAACGTCGCTACGAACGACAGCACCGTAGCGATGCTCAGTCCGCTAGCCCATGTCAGCTTCTTCCCGGGGTGGTTGTGGTCGATAATTGTCAGACTCGTCGCCAGCGTCAACAATGACGCAACCATTCCTCCCACGCTGCTTAGGAGCAACGGTCGCCGTCCGATCCTGTCCAGCAAAAACGTCGCAACCAGGATGAACACTGTCTTCGCGAATCCGACGGCTACCGTGGCGAGTAGCTTGTGGTCGGACGACGTGATTCCGGCTTTCTCGAAGATTCTTGGCGAGTATAGAACGACGGCATCGATTCCCGAAGCTTGTTGGAAGAAATGGATGCCAATGGCGGCGATCAGGACGCGGCGAACGGAGGGCGTGGGATGAAACAGCAGCTCTTTCCATACACCCTCACCGCGGGATTGTTTCTGCACCTGCACGACGTCGTCTTGGCAGTCCTCTGGGATTCCCGCTGCCTCTTTAATGTCGATAAGTCTCAGCTGGGCCTCTTCATTGCTGTCTGAGGTTTTGTTGAGCACGCGTCTGGCGTCTCCCAGTCGACCCTGCATCACCAGCCACCGCGGCGACTCCGGCATCGCTAATACCACTACGCCAAGAATCACTGACGGTACGGCTCCCATACCCAGCATGAACCGCCAGCCCAGTTGCAGGGGTAACTTGGAGAATGCGTAGTTCGATACGTATCCCAACAATACTCCACCATTGATAAACACCTGCAACACAGTTTGTTGGAGAGTTGATTCAAAATTATGAAAATTATAACGATTATATAAAATTAAAGTAAAATAACGGTAAAGTAAATAGTAATAAATAGACGGTTAAATAGGCAGTTCCATCTATATTTAAGCGGTCGATTGTAATGTATCTGCAATTTTTTTTTTTATTGAATATAAGGCTTTTATATTTTTCTTTCTCCAACGCAGTTCACGTTAAGAATATAGTTTCATATGTAGTATGTTAGTGGAGATAGCAATCTTAATTACCTCGGGGAAGGAAGTGAGAAAGCCGCGTGAGGAAGAGGGAGAGACCTCAGCAGTGTAGACGGGGGCAACCATGAGTGCGTAACCGACCCCGATACCAGCGACAAAACGACCGAACATGAGGAAGGCATAGTTAGTGGCGAAACCCATAAGAATTGCTCCGGCGAAGAAAATGGCACATGCCATTATGATGGTGTAGCGACGACCAATCCAGTCGGAGGTTCTGCCGGCAGCGCATGAACCCACCAAGGAGTAGATGTTGATGGTTCCAGCCAAGAGCTCGATTTGCAGGTCGTTGATTTTAAGGTAATCTTTTATGTACAAAGCTGCTCCACTCATCACTCCGATATCTACAACCACATAAAACAACCATTACCACACACACACACACACTTTAGTATCACCATGAAACCCAATCATCAACTCACCATAGCCAAGAAGGACAGAAGTCATGGAAGCCAGAACAGCACAAGCCAAAGCAAATTTGTTTCTCTTTGTTTTCTTAGGAGGATCAAAATTCTCAATGGTTTTGGCAACTGCATGTGAAGGGTCCCCAGAAACGGAGTCGTTTTGAGGTTCCATGCCTGTCATCTCTTTCGAGCCTTATCTGTGATAGACGGAGAGAGGTAGGCAGAGGAGGTAGAAGTAGAAGTTCTGAAGTTTTTGGCCATGAAGAGCATGAATTAAATAGACCCAGGTAAGTTGCACCGAGGGACAAAAATGTACAAACAATGTGTTTTTTTTCAAACAGCTTAACGTAATTTCTCTT